GGGGGGGGAAAGGAGGTGTAGGTTAAAAAACAAAACAAAACCCTTCTTCCCAGTTATAATTTTAACTGGCTGTTGCTGCAGCAACCTATGAATTCCTGCCTGTGCTTGTATAAAGAGACAGCTAGTTCAATTGGTGAAGTAAAACCGTTGCGGCTTGTTCATCAGTTTAGCACTTGGGTCCCCTGTACCTTGGCTCCCAGATAAATAGTGTACTGTTATTGTCACGCTCAACCTAACAATTCACTGCGACTCAACAGGATTTTCTCCCACAGGTAAAGCTCCAAACAGAGGGCAGAGCATGAGTGCCAGATGCCAAGACGCTATAAAACCGTTGCCTTTTTACTCAAGAGTTTCCTATTCAACACATTTTATCTATTTTACTTCACCTACAGCTGGCAGCCAGTGCAATGGATAATCTGGCATCTTTCACTGGGCCAAATGTATTAAGTCACAAGATTTCAAGCCAAATAACTTACTTGTTGGTCCAATCAAAAAACATTATCTACCCTCGCTCACTTTTTAGTGGGGGGACACCAACGATCAAATCTTCAGTTAAAAAAAAAAGCTAAGCTCTAGATGTGAACCTCTAGAAAGGGTTCTGCAGTAACATGTACACATTTCACAAACACACGCATTTCACATACATATGGTTTAGCCCTCCAAGGAAGAGAAGCGAACCCAAACATTCTGTCAAACTCAGCAGCTACTCTGCCCTCCTGACACAATCAATAGTTTTATATGTTAATGACCATAATCCATTACAAAACCTGACGAAGGGATGGCGTGGAGAATGCATTGCTCTCATTGGCTTCAATAGCTGTCCTTATCTCAAACATCAAGGTCTACTATTAATGGAGACAAGAGAGTGCACACTTGGAAGAGCTGACGCCGCGCAAGTACTGAATGAGCTAGCTTATTCCACAAACATTCTGTCCTTTCTAACAGATTTATTTACTCAAGCCCTGCATCTAGAACCACATGCAGCTTTCTAAAAATCCACACGTTTTTCGGTGCTCAGTTCACTCTGCCAGGTCTCAGGGAGAGCCAGTCATAGGAAGAACCCCTTCACAAATACAGACTGGGATAGTCCAGGATAATATTTGAATAGATTGCTCACCAAATGAACCAGAGCTGTCTGGATTCCCTTCCATCCCTCCTAGGCAGAATACAGGGCTTGAGGCAGTGAGAGAAATCATTTATCTGTTCTCCTCCAGGCAGCCAAGAAGAGAGGGATCAAGGGAGGGAAGCTCATTTATCTCCACCCCTTGTGTGTTGGCAACAGCACATCTTTGCTCTTCTCCCTAGCATAACGGTGCCAGCATTACTCAGGAATGTATAAAGAACAGGAGTACTTGTGGCACCTTAGAGACTAACAAATTTATTAGAGCATAAGCTTTCGTGGACTACAGCCCACTTCTTCGGATGCATATAGAGTGGAATAAATATTGAGGAGATATATATATACACACACACACATATACAGGAATGTATGTAGGAGACAGCATAAGAAGTGCTACACAGGCAGAGACCAAGGCAGGAGTGATGTGTTTTGTACACCTGCTTCACAAACTACAGCTACTCCCTCACGCTAGTGGCTGGGTTGGGGGAGCATCTCCCAGATACGCCACTGATTGCGCAGAAACTAGGATACATACTTCATAGGCTCTGTAGTTTGACTGGACTAGCACAGCTCTCCAACAAAATACGCTGACTACCACAGGCAGCGAAACCGTGCTGTCAACACTGCATTCAAAGACTTATGCATAGCTTTGCCAGAGCTATGCTCAACTTTTTTCCCAAGACAGCTGCTGCTAGCTTAGTTCAAGCCACAGGACAAACAAGGCCTGGACAGCAAGTCTCATTTTTAGGAACTCAACTGCAGTGGCTCATTATTTTGCATCTGACTACTTGCCTCTGCTCTTCCCCAGAATGATCTCAGATTTGATAACCCCAATGATCTTGTTCCTTATCATTTAATACTTTTGTTTCTAGTTTTTACTTAGTAATTCCAGGTAAAAGAACCTGAAAATGTTGGTTTATGATGAACATTTCAGAATTTCACTCATCTCAGAAGACGTGATTTTTGTGCATCAGACAGTGAGTGCCAGGAGAGTTCTAGGAACCAACAAAGCATTATGTTTCTACCAAATCATCTCGGGGTCCCTCTCCCCTATCCTTCATTTCTAATGGAAAAGGCACAATAGTACACTCAACATCTTATCAATAGGTGACATAGAAATGCCTTCACTGTACTTGATGAATAACATTTATCCACCAACCACCAAAAAATGATGAAGTCATAAGAAGTAGCTCAGAGAATTCTCTGCTGGTTTAGTCTGTCTCATACCATGTCCATTTCCCACTCACTGACCAAAGCTTTACAAGGCACATCACATTAAAATACTGAACTGGAAAGGCAGCCCCTGTGGTACAGAGCAGGGACTCTGCAGTACACAGCAAGCCTGCCAGTGTCTGGCTATGTGCCCTGGTCCCCTGCCTCCGCTCTCTGACTATTTCCAGGGGTCTCATGACTAACACTGCTATTGAGAGGATCAGCAGATGAAGCGTGGAGATTGCTTAGCAGCAGTCCTGTGCTGAGCTTGTTACAGAGATAGGTTCAACCTTGTTGCTCTGCTCTGCTGAGATGAGGCAAAAAGCTGCTGCTGCTACATTGGATGCAGCGAGATTACAGAAACAAGTGTTTTCCAAACAAGTTGTTCCATTTTTTCCTTTGTATTTTCAATTGGGATTTCTCCATACACAATTCCAGCCAAGGACAAGGCAAGAGGTTCCACCAGATTCCCACTGTATTACACCTATCTGCTCCAGTTTTCCATTCCCCTCTTCCCAAGCCTCTCTATGGTGGAGACCCCTTTCAGAGTCAGTGATGGTTCTTGGGTCAGTCAGCAGGAAGCTCCTGCTAACTCAAAGTGAATATGCATCCCCCATAGCGCTCCCAGGCCACGCTGGCCTAAGGTATGAGAAACCAAGTCTCGAAATGGGCAAGCCCACTTGTTTTAGCAGATAAGAGACTTTAAGGTGGCCCACTTTGGTGGACTTTAAGGTGGCCCACTTCATATTTTGTCATCTACAGATCTCATTTTAAATCACTGCATGGCTTAATTCAGCTTGTCCCTCCCCTTGGACAGGTGCTCAGAAGCAGGGCTGTAAGTGGCTGTACAGGAAAGAGAGTGACTTTGGGAGAACACCAGGACCCTCCCCCCGCCCCATCTGTGACATCCTTCCTCAGTACCTCCCCTCCATTTGCTTGGATGTTCTTAACTTATTTTACTATGATACTGTGACGTTATCTGATTAAAATAAGACCATCTACACTTAATGGAATTTCCTGCTGTGACTAGGCAAAATGCATGGACATGGGACTTGCCCACGTGACTCCAAAGTCCATTTTGTTGCTGTAATTTTCCACAGTAAGAACAATGGGATGCCCTCCATATGGCAAAAGCTATAAAAGGCCCTGGAAACACATCCATTTGGTCTTCAATCCTGCTTCTTACCTCTGGAGGAACTTTGCTACAAACTGAAGCTCTGAACAAAGGACTGAATGATCCATCCAAGCTGTGGTTGTATTCCGGAGACTTGACTTAAGCCAGCAGTTTATTCCATCACTGCTACAAGCCTGAACCAAGAACTTTGCCATTACTGTATGAATTGATTCCTTTAACCAATTTCAACTCTCACCTACCTTTCTTTCTTTTGATGATTAAACCTTTAGATTTTAGATACTAAAGGATTGGCACCAGCATGATTTTTGGGTAAGATCTAAATTATATATTGACCTGTGTGTGTGGCTGGTTCTTTGGGATCAGAAGAGCCTATTTGATGAGACTGGTTGTAAAGAACCACCCATCTCTGAATCCAGTGTTTTTGATGGTGATATAAGAACTGGAATGCCCGAGGAAACTGCCTTTATGTTTTCTTGTTAGCCAGTGTGGTGAAACAGGAGTTTACTTTTGTGGCTGGTTTGGTATATGTTACAAAATAACAACCAACAGTTTTGGGTTGTGTTTACCCTATTTCTCAGCAGTTCGTCCTGAATTTGGCATCCTCAGTTGTGACCCACTAAGGCACAGTTACGGAGACACTAATCCTTGAGGAGCAGAACCTGCTGACTGCAACTTTTTCTGCTGATTCATTCCATCAGGTTAGAATGAGGCTGAGTGAATCATTTTCAAAATGAGACCAAGACAGCATGTGTCTCGTGCTATAATACAGGGGCTTTAACTATAGATTTCCCTCAAGCCT